AACCCACTGCGCCACCGTAGTTTATCTTACTTTAACTACCATGGCACATTGCTATGGAATCCTGACAGTTGCTATTTGGCAAATCACCAGAGGTCTTTGACAGAAGAGACTAAACACCTTCTAAAAGCCATGACAGTTAAAGTGGTGTCAAACTACATTAATTTTACAAAGTAAAAGCAAAAACCAGAAACACAACAACAACAGTAGAGTTGACACAATGAGACAGTTGTGTGTTTCTGTAGCCTGAAGAATCTGGTTGTAGGTCTGCTGACATTTGCAAACACTTTTTTGAGACAGCCCCACAAAGAATACATTATAGTAATCCAACAGGTATGTAATTAAAGCATGTTCTTGCTTTGGCCAGATTTGAGATCTCAACAACCATGTGTATCTGGTGCACAAGGTTAACTGTGAAAATGCAGTCGTGGCCACAACCGAATCTGAGATTCCTAGCTCAGAATTGAATCTAAAAGCACATCCAAGCCATAGACCCAGAGGTGGCCCTAGGTAATTTTCAACGGTAAGCAAACAGTGTTTTGGTGCCCCCCCCCCCCAACCAATCATTGATATATATTTTCTGTTTCTCGTGGGAGTTCTGTGTGCCATATTTGGTTCAATTCCATCATTGGTGGAGTTCAGAATGCTCTTTGATTGTAGGTGAACTATACATCCCAGTAACTACACTTGCCGCACTTGCTCCCTTTGGGTCCGGAGGCGTGCCTGAAGACCCCGACGTGTGCACCAAAAGTCACCTCTTCTCCTGACTTTCTCCTCAGACATTGGGACCAAGAGAGAGAGAGAGAGAGGTGGAGATGCCCACCTTTCCTGAAGGTAGGCGCAAAAAAAAAACAAAGGAGGGAGCGGAGGTGGGAGATACCTCCAGCCGGAGGGGCTCTCTCTCCCTCTCTCTCTCTTGGTCCCAATGGCTGAAGAGAAAGTCAGGAGAAGAGGCGACTTTTGGTGCGCAGGCTGAGGTCTTCAGTCACACCTCCGGACCCGAAGCAGGCCAGGCGCGGCGGCTCCGCCCCTTGGCCCACCCGCGGATTGGGGAGAGGAGGCAGGTGGAGCGCCAGGGGATCAGGAAAGGGAGCCGGTCATGGGGAAGGGATCGAATGCAGAGAACAATTGAGCACCGGATCTGCTCGCACACCCGGTGGCCGGATGGAGCAGGAACGAGAGGGGCTAGGCGAGGCTCAAGGGCCCGGTCCCTTTGGGAAGAGGATTGCCAGGCAGTGAGGCAAGAAAGCCGAGGCTCCCCCCCAGACTGCTAGGGCTGTTGTGAGCTGAGGGGGTGCTCCTCAGGTGGCGGTCGAGGGGCATTTACAGAGGCGCCTCTGCACCCCTGGCAAAAAAAAGTGTTCTAAGACCGCTTACTTCGCGTAATGGACGAGCCGCCCCTGCATAGACCCACATCTTCAGGATGAGTATAACCCCACCTAGCACCCTATTCCCTGATCTGCCTTGTGACTGAACAGGAGCATTGCCTTCTTGCCACAAAGTTCAGACATCATCCCATTGTAACCCAAGTCTTGAATCTCAATTGACACTAATGTACACAAAATCCAGACCCATTCATCTTATCACAAAGCAAAGTCAGATTTCATAGCCTGGTTACAACTAACATATTCAGGCAAACCAGATCCTGAGACACTGAAACTGCCTTTTCCATGAAAATGAGGAAACCACTTTATAATGAGGGTGCTGTTAGTTAGATTTACAACTACTTAACTGTTGCCTATTCACATTTATGATCGTGGCATCATAAATGTGCATGGCAGGAGGTTGGTCTAGATAGTCAATATGGTCTCTTCCAATGCTATGATTCTTTGATCTTTGCCACAATCATAAATGCCCCAGAAACCCACCTTAAAAGCCAGTTAGCCATCCTGCTTGATGGAGTTCTGTGGTGCTGGTGAGCAGGGTGCTATTTTATTTATTTATTTCCTATATTTTTACTCTGCCCTTCTCACCCCCGAGGGGGGACTCGGGGCAGGCTCACAAAAGCATCATAGGATGCCGAAATCATAAAAACAATCAACAATCAGCAACACATTAAAATATTAAAAACATTAATTAAACAATTGATTGAAAACATGCCTGTTAAAATCAGAATCCAGAGTCCAACTACAGGATGTGACCAACTTTCTCCTGATAGTGCAAGAAGCAAGAGCCACAGGGAGACTTGTAACAGCAATGCCTTATTGACACCGATGGATGAGGGTTGGCCATGTCATCCAACAGCACCCCTCTTGCCAACACCACAGAACTGACTTTTAAGGTGAAGTTCATGGGTCAGATCAGGAGTTCAGCTATGATAGCTTCACTACACCTCTGAGCTTTGCCAATATATATTTTTCAAATACTTTGTAAATATTGATTTTTGAAGATTAAAGTGACAGCATCAATTGTTGAAACTCAGAAACACTGCCATATAAAATCCAGATTATCTGTTTTGGATTATACGACAGTGTGAACTCATATAACCCAGGGTTGATGGCCATGTTCCAGAAGCATTCTGGAACATATATAAAGCATACAGCCCAGAAAACTCATAGCAATCCAATAATTCTGGCCGTGAAAGCCTTTGACAACTCCTATAACCCAGTCAAAATAGATAATGGAAATTATCTGCTTTGATAATCTGGATTATACAGCAGTGTAGAAGGGGCCTCAGTAAGAATGCTCTCTGATTTCAATTACCTTACATATCAACTGCAAACTCGTAATGGGTAGTAGTCCTTGAAGTGCAGACAGTAATGTGAACATCCAGAAATAGCAGGAGATTATCTTTGATGGGAACCCAGAAAATACGGGCCCTTCCAGACAGGCCCTATATCCCAGGATCCGATCACAGGTTTTCTGCTTTAAACTGGATTATATGAGTCTGCACTGCCAGATAATCTGGGATACACAGAAAACCTAGGATCAGATCCTGAGATTTGGGGCCTGTCTAGAAAGGTCCTACATTGAAAGGTGCGCAGATCATGAATACAGAGGGCAGCCTTAACTCTCTGAGGGCCCTTCCACACAGCTCTATATCCCAGAATATCAAGGCAGAAAATCCCACAATATCTGCTTTGAACTGGGTTATCTGAGTCCACACAAAGATAATGTGGGATTTTCTGCCTTGATATTCTGGGATAATGGGCTGTGTGGAAGGGTCCTGGGGGGACTAAAGGAACAAAGATGTCCCTAGAACAGCATTTCTCAACCTGGGGGTTGGGACCCCTGGGGGGGGGGTAATGAAGGGGTGTCAGAGGGGTCACCAAAGACCATCAGAAAACACGGTATTTTCTGTTTTATTTATTTATTTTATTTATTTCAAACATTTCTACCCCGCTCTTCTCAACCCCTGGGGGGACTCAGGGCGGCTTACAATTGGCAATAATTCAATGTCACATCATAAAATACAGAATAACGAATATAACAATTAACATGAACATTAATAAATAAAGATTAAAACAGCATACTTACACTCTGATTAGCTATTGCCCGTCTGGTGGCTGTTTAGCTAGCCATCTACTAATGATTACTCCGCTTAACTTATCCAAATCCTATTCCATGCCATAGTCAACATTATCTATTGTCCTTTAACCTGATTGTCCAAAGGCCTGGTCCCACAGCCATGTTTTAACCTTTTTTCTAAAGGTGAGGAGGGATGACGATGACCTAATTTTCCTCTGTGGGAAGTTTGGGCCAATTCAATTGTTGGTGGGGTTCAGAATGCTCTTTGAGTGTAAGTGAGCTATAAATCCAAGCAACTACAATTCCTAAATGTCAAGGTCTATTTTCCCCAAACTCCACCAATGTTCAAATTTGGGCATATTGAGTATTTGTGCCAAGTTTGGTCCAGATCCAACTATAAATCACATTAACCAGAACACCCAGATGACAAAATCAACACACACCCCCACCCCCTGCCCCAAAACCCAACCAGTATTCAAATTTGGTCATATCTGGTATTTGTACCAAATTTGGTCCTGTTAATTAAAATACATCCTGCATATAAGATATTTATATTGCGATTCATAACAGTAGCAAAATGACAATTATGAAGTATCAACGAAAATCATGTTATGGTTGGGAGTCACCACAACATGAGGAACTGTATTAATGGGTCACGGCATGAGTTGAGAAACACTGCTCTAGAAAACTGAAAACATCTCATGATGAAGATGCACACAGACGCACAATGATTTTTATGGATGGGGAAGATGTGAGCAGGATTCCAGGGTGATCACTAGATTCCAGGGACTAGGGTTCGAATCCCCTCTTGGATTCAGAAACTGACTGAAAGTCACACTCCCTCAACCTCTGAGGACAACAAGGGACCAGTCATATGTGGGTTGGGAAGTGACAAAAGAGGCCATGGGATCCAGACAAAACATTGTTCTGCCTTTTCCAATTTGAGAAACCTCCTACTTGCTCAGAGGCATCTGCCTGCAAGGTAGGGTGCATCTACACCAGGCATGGGCCAGCTTTGGCCCTCCATGTGTTTTGGACTCCAACTCCCACCATTCCTAACAGCCTCAGGCCCCCTTCCTTTCCCCCCTAAGCCGCTTAAGGAAAGGGCCTGAGGCTGTTAGGAATGGTGGGAGTTGGGGTCCAAAACACATGGAGGGCCCAAGTTTGACCATGCTCGATCTACACTGTTTCCTCAACGCAAGTTGACAACAACACGCCTTGCAATGGCATGGTGAGCCAGCCACAGCACTGCAAAGCTAAAGACCCTGTAAACCGACCACTCTTGTCATCCTACCACATGGGAGCCAAGGCAGGCCAGACATTACTCCCAGGGTCACCCGCAGAGCGCTGCTGCTCCATTGAGAAAGTCAGGTCGGGGCTGGAGCGTGCCAAGGGAAAGCTCTCTTCGCAGGGAGCGCTAACTCTCCCTCTAGAAAAACATGGCATGAAAGGCAATGAAGCAGGACAAAAACGTGGAGAGGCAAGGTTCCCGGGGGAGCCCCGTCTCGGTCCAAGGGGTCCCGGCGGCGACTCACCCGGTGCCTGGAAGCCCGGACCCTTCCCGGCCAGTCCGAAAGCGCCGGAGCTCCGCTTGGGAGGAGGAGGAGGAGGAGGAGGAGGCAGCCCCTCCGGCCTCTCTCCGCTTTGCGCCCACAGCCCACACTTACTCACTCGGCCGGCTCTGGCCGCAGGCGGATCTGGCAGGAGGTGCTCCCGAGGCACGCCCAGCGGGGAGAAGGAGGAGCCGGGAAGGGAAGGAGAACTCTCCGCCAGTCTTTAGGCGCAGACCCAGGGCCCTGGCTTCTCTCATTCATTCATTCCCTTTGGGTGCATCTACACACAGGGCCGGATTGAAGACGAATGAGGCCCTGTGCTGGTGAAGTTACGAGGCGCCTCCCTTGAGCCCTGGAGGAGGTCGGCCTACACCACCTGCTTTGTGCCACACTCCCACACACTATCAACCTTTCAATCGTTAGGTTGCGGTGAGGTTTTCAGGGCTGTATGCCCATGTTCCAGAAGCATTCTCTCCTGACGTTTCGCCCACATCTGTGACAGGCATGCTCAGAGGTTCTGAGGTCTAGGTTCTTGTGGGTTTTTTTCGGGCTATAGAGCCATGTTCTAAAGGCATTTCTCCTGACGTTTCGCCTGCATCTATGACAAGCATCCTCAGAAGTAGTGAGGTCTGTTGGAATTAGGACAATGGGTTTATATATCTGTGGAATGGCTGGGGTGGGGCAAAGAGCTCTTCCCTGCTGCAGTTAGGTGTGAATGTTTCAGCTGATCACCTTCATTAGCATTTGAAGGTCTGCCTGAGCCTGGGAAAATCTCTTGCTGGGAGGTGTTAATCTGTGCCTGGTTGTTTCCTCTCTGTTGTTTTGCTGTTGTAATTTTAGAGTTTTTTAATACTGGTAGCCAGATTTTGTTCATTTTCATGGTCTCCTCCTTTCTGTTGAAATTATCCACATGCTTGTGGATTTCAATGGCTTCTCTGTGTAGTCTGACATGGTGGTTGTTGGTGTGGTCCAGCATTTCTGTGTTCTCAAATAATATGCTGTGTCCAGGCTGGTTCATCAGGTGCTCTGCTATGGCTGACTTCTCTGGTTGTTCTGAGGTCTGTTGGAAACTAGGAAAATTGAGTTTTTATATATGTGGGAAGTCCAGGTTGGGAGTTTACCAACATTTAAACAACTCTTAAATCAGGACAGTAAATAAAGAGGAAACACTCAAAAAACAGGGGTGTTTCTGATATGAAACAATCATGGCCAGCTAACACCTCCCAAGAAAGGATTCCCCCAGGCAGCAACCAGCCAGGCTTTGGAGTACTAATCAAGGTGGCCAATTGCAACATTTGCACTTGCCTCAAGTAGACAAGAGTTCTTTCTCCCACCCTGGACATTCCATAAATATATAAACGTCACTTGCCTAGTTTCCAGCAGACCCCACAACTTCTGAGGATGCCTGATATAGATGTGGGCAAAATGTCAGGAGAGAATGCTTCTGGAAAATAGCCATACATCCCAGGAAAACTCACAGCAACCCAGTGATTCCGACCATGAAAGCCTTTGACAACACAGTGAAAAGTGTGTTTTAGTTAGAGTATCTCTTCTACTCTTATCTAGGGTCAGTGGAGATCCATTATGACAGAAATCCTTTCACTGAAGGTCTTAGTGCCCTGGTACATTGACACTGAGATATACAGTCTAATTGTATATCTGGTACATTGACACTGAGATATACAGACCCGCCAAAAGTTTGATTGAAAATGCCAGCAGCATTAACTAATATGGGAATTGGTGAGGCATTCTGGAAACTGCCATTCAACCACTGAAAACAGACATGAATGGGCACACTGCTCTTAACCAAAAAAAGAAACTGCCACAGGCTTATTGTGTTGTCTGAATTTGCCTCAGGTGGCACAGGCTTCTATCCTGTAAATGTTGTGAAGATCTCACAACCTCTGAGGATGCCTGTCATAGATGTGAGCAAAACATCAGGAGAGAATGCTTCTGGAACATGCCAATACAGCCCAGAAAACTCACAGCAACCCAGTGATTCCGACCATGAAACCGTTCAACAACACAACCTTTCAATCATTATGTCTGGAATCGCTCTCAAACAGGACGCCTTCACATTTAGAATTGCACCACCTAAGAAATATGCATCCTATACAATTTGGAGGGGGGGGGGGGGGGTTGGCCGGAAAATGGTCAAAGGAGCCCTGAGCATAAGCACAAGGGCAAGTCCATCACTGTCTCTCTACACAGTAGAATTAATGCAGTTTGACCCAACTTATCAATTTTAACCTTTGTTTTCTTGGTTTGGCCTGGTGTGTACTTGTTATATGCCTTTTAATAGTGTTTTATCACCCTTTTTTAACCGTGTTACTTGCCTCCAGGAGCAAAGAGAGCATACCTCATGCTGCTGTCTCATGCTTTGCTGTGAGTGTTGAAACAAAGTGTGTTTGCCTGCTGCATAATCCAAATTATCTGTTTTGAACTGGATTATATGAGTCTACACTACCATATATTCCAGTTCAAAACAGATAATCTGGATTCTATGGGGCAGTGTAGAAGGAGCCTAAGAAAGCTATCTATTAATCACATTTTATTTTTGTTTTTGTTTTTCCATATCAAAAGGCTTCCAAATGATAGGACACACACAGCACATGGCTTCACATGCAACTTCTAGTCAAAGCTTAAAAAAATGTAAAGACATGAACTACCAGTCTCCATGTTGAGAACAAGAGGAGAAGGAAGCTGCTCCTCAACAAAACACCGTCAAAATGTGATCAAATGTGATTATGCTTCACATAATATAGAAAGTGTAGAATTGATATAAGCACCCTTACATAATCGAATAACGCTCCTCCAACATGTTCCCTGTTGCTACTAGCACTGCTGAGCTTGTAAAAGCCTGTAAAATATCCAAAATTCAATAAATCCTTGTCACCCTCTCTCACTTTTCAAATTTCAGCTGTAGCCCAAGTTCTAAGTATGATAATATTAGTAAAGCTTTGAGTTAAGTCAGCTGCAGTGCACAGAAGGGTAATGCTGGTGGGGATTGTTTGAAAAAAAGGGCCCCAGAAGGATGCGGTCATAGACCTTTTGTAATCTAAGAAAGACAGTAATCATATTTCCTGTAGTAGATGCGTACTCTTTTTGTTCGTTCAGCCCCAAAAAAAAAAAAACCCGTAATGATTCAAAACTCATCTGCCAATGATTGCAACTGTTCAAGCTTGCATAGGCTGTGATTCTTCTTGAAATTGTTAAGGAATGTCCTCACCCTCACTTTCCCTACAAGTTGCTTCATTATATGTTGAACCCATGCACCCCACATGCTGCTTGAAAGCATGAAGCAACATTTTGATTTTTCCTGCCCCAACTCAGATACCCACTTCACTGCATAGATTGCCGTTCTAGGGGATCTTTATAAATCACTGTCATCCCTCATCTCAGTTGAATAGATATTAGATAGAAGAAATATTACCAGCCAGTCAGAACATAATGTACAGTACATTAAATCCATGAGATGTAATGGTATGTATATTTTCTAGGAAACAATTCCCATCTGTCCAGTGGCTAAGCATGTGTGCCTCCTCCTTTATTCCAAAATGTTTTTTCTTCAATGAAAAAAGTCATTATTTGGATATGTATGGTATATTTATGACATAAAGTTACAACCTTTTGCTTGATGTATTATTTTAATTATTCTACGTTCAAGTTTGGATAGCACATAGACAAAATCCAATTTGCAAGCTATACTTTTACAGAGAAAGTGTGGCTACTTCTCACACACACACCCCTTTTAATTTGGTCTTCTTTTCTGATGTTAGTAAAATGCTATGGAATTATGAGAGTTGTAGTTTTATAAGGTCTTATGCCTTATCTGCCAATGACTGCTGGTCACCCAGGATTCTATAGTATTGAGTCATGGCAGTTCAAGTGATGTAAAACTACATTAATTCTACATTGCAGATTCACCTATTGGTTGATTTGCCTTTGTCATTCTAATTTCAATCAATCTAGTCTAAGCATGACCGTGTTTGGCTTGAATTCAGTATGTTTTTGCATTTCCTCTGTGTATCTTTGGTTGACACTTGCCAGTGATCTTTAGTCATGAACTAAAATCCTATTGGTTTCAAAGACAACCCAATAACTGTATTGCTACTAAGTTAAATGATATCATTGATATCATACAGGTTATTGAGAAATTCAGGCAACTATGTAGATTACCAGAGACCACATTGTGAGTAATGTTTTCTAACTGAGTCCCCTTCGGGGGAGATAAAGTGAAGTAATAATAATAATAATAATAATAATAATAATAATAATAATAACTTCCTTATTTGGAAGTAGAAGTCCTGAATTTATTGAGAGAAGGGCAGGAGACATCTAAGAAAGAAAGAAAAGAAATGCTTTTCAGCAAGGCTAATCAAATTACTGTCCTTAATGGAGTGTTCATCAATATTATTAATCTCTCTCCCATTGTATTCTTGCAGCCTCCTCATGGAGGAAGAGTTGCCTTATTACTCCCTAATTCCTATTAGGTCTAGGGTTCTCTTCAAGCTGTTGTCAAGCTACAGATACCTCCAAAGGGACTTAGAGTTCACCAAGGGCTCACAAATAAATATATGATTTTTCCTTTTTAAAAAATTAAAAAGCCTTTTTCGGAGGTCTGGAATTGCGCAAGTGCAAGGTTTGGAAGATCGAGAAAAGACCCAGCAGTAGCAGTATCCTCATTAAATAGAGTATTCTATGTAATTCTTTAATAAATTGTATCAGTTTTAAGTTTCTGTGTAACTTGTATCTTTTAGTTGTGTGCTGTATTTTTCCTATATAAAACGTATAAACTGCCTTACTGAAATGTATCAAATGTATCAAAATGCAGCCCAGGGACAACCACCCCTCTGGAATAATCCCCTGAAAATAGGAAGGTTGGGCAAATCCCTCTGGCTATTTCCCAAGTCAAAAATAATCAGGTTTATTGTGTGTATGTACAGAAAGGTGATTTCCCTTGGCGACCAGATAAGCAGAATGTTTGTATAATCCACCTGAGGCTCAGCATTCTTTGGCAAAGAAGGCTAGAGAATTTATAAAACTAAACTCCCATGC